TTCCAAATTTCTATTCAGTTTGGGGATTTTATTGGTAGATTTTAATGAACCAACGGCTCAATCTTAGGAGCAAAGGCTTTGCCTCATGCAGAAGGTCTCCAATAAAGGAAATCAGCATATTTGTCTCATCAGATTCCTTTTGATGAGTGGAAAAATGCATGTTTGCACTTTTGGCATTGTTTTAAAATCCCAATTCCTCCTAGCACACTGCCCACTAGAACCTTTGTGGAACAAACATGTTTCAAGTTAGTTAGTCGAAATTTGCATGAGTTATAGTCAAGATGTGGATCTATAAAGTCTGCGGGTTCATCCAGTGTTTCAAATGGGCTTTCATGGTGTTTTGCAGTGCTTATTTTGGAACAAAATTTGGTGAGGCTAAATATTTTTTCTTTGTTTAATCGCCTATAAATCAGACATTGTGACATTTAAAATAATGGCTCCACCTGAAAAATATTCCTCAATGCCTTTCTGTCAGAAAAAATACCAGTTGTATTTCCTTTGCTTTGATTCACATATGTAATATGTGACCATCTGGGCATCATGTTGCAATTCCAGTTGTAAAACTTGTTAGTTTCGTACGAGAAGCTCTAGATGTTCTCTGGACGTATTACTTTAGAAAAATTGGAATTGAGGAAAAGTTGAAACTATTAACTTTATGTTTTACTTAATTCAATGTAATATTAAATGAAAATGCAGACTTCTTGTCTGTATCAACATCTTTGATAGAAATGTGGTCGTTTGATTTGTCATCCATCAAAAATGATTAATTACAGTAGGTTCTAGTGGAGACAATGAACCTGTTTAGTGCAAACGGTCTGATTTGATTAGATTATCAGTGTATGTTTATTCTAGTCAGTGATGTTCTCACCAAGTGTTTCCTGGTCCTGATCCAAATGTGCTGTATCCACCTTCTTTGTCTTTGTAGTTTAGCTGTCTCTGATAGCCTGTAGAACAACAGGAACAGGTTTGTTTATAAAGGGAAATAAAGTTAAGAAGTTAAACTGAATTGACAATGAGACATTTCATGTGTTTCTGCATCTGTGGAGAAATCAAAAATACGTACGATTTCAACTTTAAAGTGTTTGTGGACAAACAAGTAAAAAAAAAAAAAAAAGGTCTTATTTCGATCCATCGATAAATTTTCTGTCATGTTTATCCCTGCTGGGGTTGCTGGTGCCTATCTCCAGCTGTCTGCGGGCGAGAGGTGGGAACCATCTTGGACAGGTCTGCAGTCCATCGCAGGGCAACCTAGAGACAAATCACCATTCACTCACACCTAAGGAGAATTTAGAGAAGCCAATTAACCTGAAAATCATGTTTTTGGACTGTGGGAGGAAGCCGGAGTACCCGGAGAGAACCCACACCTGCTCAGGGAGAACATGCAAACTCCATGAAAGACCCCAGGCCGAGAATCGAACCCAGAACCTTCTTATTGCAAGGCAGCTGTGCCACCGACTGCGACACTGAGAAGCTTTATTGCGACTCTGGTTTAATATCCAACTATTTAACGTGTGGGGGAAAAAAAACTAACTTTAATGGGTCTTTTTCTAAACTAGACTGCAAACAACTATGCAGCAGGAAGTGATGTGCAGTTAGGACTTACGTCACTGCCATTGACATACATTGCTCTCCATAAAAAGCAATTGCTTCATTTATTCCCGTTAAGGGATTTCATCATTTTGACCAAGACTGACTGATGTTAGAACATTTCAGAACGTCTGGTTTTCCTCCTAGTTGTTGTGTTTGGTGTTGTGCTCTGTGGATCAGGTCTTAAATATCTAGATTGCTGCATCAAATGTCCCCATGTGGGACATTAAAACTCTAACATGAATAGTTTAAAGATATCAACCTTTTCTATTTGGAGCTTTGATCCTTTAACTGTGTTCTAAATGAAAGAGAGTTACCGCTGGTTAAGAAGTTGGATGCCTTCTCCTTAATGGCTGAGGTCAGCTGTTGAGAACGTTGTAGATATTCCAGGATGTAGATGTTAGGAGCCAGCAGTGCCATGTTCTGTTCCCCACATCCATACGGCATCTGCAGCAGACCATCCAAGTTCTGTAGGGCGCGGCCAAGAATGTCACCTGTGCAGAAACAGAAACACAAAGCTCACCACATTTGATTGAGCGGTTTTGTATCATTAGTTGAGAAAAATGTTTTCAATGAATTCAAAAACTTAAACGGATGTTTATTGGGATGCAGCATTAAGACCAGGATTAGCAAACAATTGGAGCAACTGTGTTTTGTTGACCCATGCGATTTACCGAGGACAGATACTGAGGTACGGCCAGATCCCTCAATCACGTTCTGAGGCAGCTGTAGCTCCGTTTCCTCAGTCAGAGCTTCACCTGAGTTTATACAAAAACAGTTTTCAGTTATTATTACACAACCTCAACAGACGGACGATTTAAAAACAAATGAAGAAATTAATTAACTTCAATATTCAGCTTTCCAAGACATTGTCACGGTGATCAGAGAGTCATGAATGCTCCAACTAAACACACTAAACCTGCAATATTTCCAAACATGTTATATTCTTCAATGAAGACTTTAGTACTAAAAGTTTGATGTATGCAGATCTAAAGGAGAAATAAAGGGATTTTGTGAGAAATCAAGTCTTTGAAAAATGTGGTTAACTTTTAATGCCATTCAATTTCTAAATGGTGGATTTGGATAAAAGACTTTGATTCTCCAAAGTTCTGTGGCATCAGGGATGAGAACATTACCTTTGATGAAACAACGCTTTATTGTTTTATTTTTGTTTCCACAATTAAAGATCCACAGATGTTCTCATGAGGAAATTTCAATCTTGTGACGGGTCGGATAATAATTAACACAATTATTGAGGAATCTGTAATGTTGAGAGTTTCACTCTTCTTTTCAAGCATCCAGCATGCCGAGGTGAGTGAATTTTATTAGCTCACACTTAGACTCCTTCAATAAAGCATTAGCTAAGGAGCTAACCTGGTATTTTACTGAAATTGTCTTTAAATTTATCTTTAATCATTTTGGGAAGAAATAGAGCTAATTTTCACCCAGTTTCAAACCCCTTTTCTCATCAGGGTACACATGAGCATCTTATTCTATATTTATCTTATTTATATTTATAGTTTGCTGTGGTCGGAAAAGTTTGATTTTTCTTGTTCCATATATTTAGTTATGCTATTTATCCAGTGAAAACTGTTTTTACTCAATCTGTTTCACTTGCAAGGCCACAAAATGTCTGAGTGAGAAGTTTTTACAAACAAACATGCTTATTCCCACGACAAGCCAAATACTCTTCCAAGGTTTGTTAAAGTGTGAGTAATTTGTTTAGATTCGGGCGAGGAGGAGGAGTAGCAACAATCTTTCAGTCTGACTTACTGATTACTCCCAAAACAGTTAATACCTACAACT